ACAGATGAGAAAACTCAGGCACAGAGCGGTCAAGTCTCTTGCCTAAAGTCACACAGCAAATAAGTAGGCAAGCTGGGGTTTTAGTCCAGGCTGTCCAGTGTCCAAGTTTCTGTGGATAGTAGCACCTGATGAGGTAGGGCCTTCGAGATCTTCCATCTCAGTAGCCCCCCAACCCTGACTACCCAGTAGAGTAATTAGGGAGCTTTTTTCAAAATGCCAATTCCCAGGCCTCACACAGACCAATTAAATCAGGACCTCAGGGCTGGGGCCTGAGCGTGTGTGTGAAAGCCCCCAGAGGCTGCCAGGCAGCCCGGAGAAGGGGCACCTGCCCTGTTCTCCTCCCCACCTTGTTTTACAGGCAAGAAACCTGAGCCCTGAAGTTCAGTGACTTGCCCAACATCACACAGCTGGTGCCAAAGCCACCACCCAGGACCGTCACTGCCGCCCCTCTCACCTGCCTTTGAAACTCCCCCTTCCCACAGAACTCAGATCACACCAGGAATCACTACATTCTACAAGGTGACTGTGTGTCCTGGAAATACTGCTTCATTTTCACATTCCACAGCCCTCACACCTGGGTACGTATATATGTGATAGTGAAGAGCAGACCTGACTCCACATTACACCTGTTCCTTTGGGTCTAACCCTGGGCTCTGTCTCCTGTACTGAGTCCTGCTGGTGGGGCACCTTTTGAAATCTGCAGGACAGCCCATTCTCAAGGCTCTCACCTTTAAGGGTAGAATACTTTCCCATTCATACAGAGATTAAAAAGTTGCAGAATAGAGCCGCTTGTCTCGTTGGAGGTTTAGACGGACATTGTGACCTGACCCCCATGAAGAGCTGCAAAAACCAAGGATTCTGACACCAAGTTTGCAACAACCAGCCACAGTCCCTCCCCTTTTTAGTATAAAAGGAGCCTGAATTCTGACTTGGGGAAGATGGTTCTCCAGGACATTCATCCCCCATCTTCTCAGCCTGCTGGCTTTCTGCATCAAGTTGTTAATCCTTGCCCTCATACCTCGTCTCCTGATTTATTGGCCTGTTGTGTGGCGAGCAGGACGAGTTTGGACTTGGTAATGTGTACAGAAAACAACCCAGACAGTCAGACAGAGGGCTGAGGGGCTTGTCTCAAAGCAGGAGCAAGACGGGCCTTCATCTTCCAGTACGTACGTCTGCAGTGCTTAAAATCTGTATTACCTCCGTGATAGAGAAAATCGACTTTTTTTTAAAAACACTAGCAATGTGCTTTTCTTTAAAGAATCAATAAGTAGTTCACACAACCTTTTGGCTTAAAGTAACGAGGCTTCCTAAGCTGCCAGGGTCATTCTTTCAATACTCAGACGGATGATTCCAGAAAAGAACACAAATTCCTTGCACTTTCAGGAAATGGGCAGCAGGACTGATGCTTATCCGAGTCCGGAGGAAGCCTGAACAGGTACAGCCTGGCGCATCCTCAGCGCTTCGTAAACCTACCTGTGCTCCTTGAAGCTGGCCCGTCACCAGCCCCCAGCCGGCTCCGCCAGCCAAGGCCGTAATGAGGTCTTCAGCTACTAAAACTTGCATAAAACACACAACACGCCGCCAGCCACCAGCTGCTCTAGATCCTGATGAATAATTGAGAAACAAATTACCCTTCTCCAAATGAGCCCAATAAAGTCAGGCTCACCGCAGCGCACCCACCGCGCTCTCCTCTGTGGGGCTGCTGGGACCCCAGCTGCCGTAACTAAGGCCGCTCGCTTCGCGGGTCCCAGGCTGGGAAGGATCCAGCGGACCCAGGCCTGATCGAGGGAAACCGAACGCCCCCTGCGCTTCTCCCACAAAAGGAAAACTTTGCAGGCAAGCTAATCTCTACATCCATCTCCTCCATCAGACCAGCGCTCTCTGCTGCGTTATTACCTTGTTAAGACATGTGGTTTAAACTGTTTCATCTCACTGTTTGGAGCTAATGGAACTTTTTTCCAGTCTTCCCATTCAAAGCCTGGACCACACTTTTTCAAATTTAAATAGCTTAAAAGCAAGCTGGGTTGGCTCCTTGGAGAGATGGCTGATTCTGTGCTGGGACAGGGGAAATACAAAGAAAGTTTGAGGCATCTTATTGAGCCAAGTGCTCAAAAACTAAGAGGGACACATCAAAAGGACACCAGGGCCAGCTGGAAGGGACTCCCACTGGCCAGATCTGGAGCAATCTGAGCATCAAAATGAACAATGACAGAAGTAAATTATAATGTATTGAATAAAAATAAGTCCATACCAAAACCGTAAAAAAAAAATGGAAAAAGGGAAGTCTCTTTTTTACAAAAGGATGCTAATGAGTACAGAAAAATGATGGAACCATAAAATCATTCCTTTACACCCACCTTAAAAATAGGTGATTCAAGTAATGACTTGTGGATAAATGCAAATGTTATTAGGTGATAGACTGTCCAGAAATAAGATAGTCACACTGTATTCATAGATTATGTGTTAATTATAAAGGTCAAAACGTAGCTTTACAATGGAGAAATCCAGGGAACAACACCTCAACCAAGTGATCAAACTTATTACCAATGACAGGGGAAACTGGCATCATGTCCCCACATGACATTACCTATGTCTTGCCAAAAATACTTCGCCTAAATCAAAGTATGTTGGAAAAACTCAGACAAATCCATATTGATGAGCATCTTGCAAAAACAGCCTGGATCCTTGGAAGACGTTTATATCAGGAAAAGACAAAAAGGTGGAGGAAAACTGGACATGAAAGGAGACTGAAGCAGACCTGACAAAGGCACAGCGTGGTCTTTAACTGGATCCTGGTTTGGGGAAAAAAACAGCTGTAAAGGACAACTGAGGAAATTTGCACATGGACTGAATATTGTACAATAGTATTGTTTCGATGTTAAATTCCCAAACTGCCAACAACACTGGGGTTGTGTAGAACGGCCCTGTTCTTGTCACACAAGTGCTGAGGTTTTTAGGGGTAAAATGTCATAAAGTCCTCAACTAACTCTCAGATGGTGAGAGAAGGAAGGAAGGCAGACAGGAAGGGAGGGAGGGAGGAAGACAAGGAAAGAAAAGTTGAGAGAGAAGCAAACATGACAAAGTGTTGACACCTGTTGAATCTAGGTGAAGGTGCATTGGTATTCACGGTTCTATTCTTGCAACTTTTCTGAAGGTTTTTAATTGTTCAAAATAACAATGTGGAGAAAGAAAAGCAATCTAGATTTGAATTCTAGCTTCATCCTCATGTACAGTCTTGGTAGGAAATATGTTAAATTCCTTTAAATTTAATAAGCTAAAATAAATTAACCTCAATTTAAAACCAAAGAAGCACAGATTTCTATGTTATTTTAACCTCTAAAGTACTGATATTCACCAGAACTAGGTCAAAGGTCTAGAGGTCATGGGTCTCCATTTCTGTTGGCAACAACCAGCTGGAGTTGGTATGACTACTCTGTGTGGATGGGACATGCTGTCTGGTTTGCAGCGGGCCCCTGCTCTCTGTCTTCCACCTGACACGTGCATTCACTCATGCTTTCATTTCTGTTGTCTGCCTGGCCTCTGGGGACCCCTGAGTTGGAGACAAGGGACAAGGGCCAGACATCAGGAGAACGAGCCTGTGCTGGCACTACACTGGGGGTCAGTCCCCGCAGGGCAGAGCACAGGCTATTGGTGCTGACCACAGACTGGGCACTGAATGGCTTTTCACAGGTTCACAAAGACATTGGGTTGAATTATGTCCCCTCAAAATTCGTGTGTTAAAGTACTGACTCCCAGTACATCAGAATGTGACTTTACTTGGAAACAGGGTTGTTGCAGCTGCAATTTAGTTAAGATGAGGGCATACTGGACAGGGTGGCCTCTGATCCAATATCACAGGTGTCCTTATGAAAAGGGGGAATTTGGACGTGTCACGTGCACAGGGAGACACCGTGTGAAGATGAAGACAGAGATCAGGGTGATGCATCTACAATCCAAGGGACACTGAGGAACACCAGCAACGCACCAGAAGCCACAGAGACCCCTGGGACAGGCTCGCCCCCACGGTCCTCAGAAGGAACCAGCCCTGCCACCACCCTGATCTTGGACTTGCAGCCTCCAGAACTGTGAGAGACTGTATCCGCTGCTCAAGCCCCCTGGCGCGGCCGCCCCAGGACACTCACACACCTTCCAGGGGCTGCTCACGTTGGGGGGGGGCAGGCGAGCAGATTCTGGAGACAAACTGGCAGGGCCACCTCCACCGTTTACTGTAAACATGGGCAAGTTCCAGACAACACCGCATCCCTGTCACCCGGTCTTTACAACAGGAATAATAGCTAATAACAGGGTCACTCACAGAAATGCTGTGCAGGAGAATCTGGTTACTATTTGAGAACAGCTTGAAAGAGTATCTTTACTTATAAGTAATGCTGTTTTTATTATTATTATTATCATCATCATCATTATTATTATTATTAACCTTGCTATGGTTGTAGCTTTGTTCCAAACTTTGGAAGAGCTTAGGTAAAGGTGTATTCATAGCGGGAAGAGCTTTGGACCAAGGGAGAAGCTCCTCCTGTGCTGGGGCCGCTCCGTGCCGTCCGCGTGTGACCTGGAATACAGCCTCTGAGCTCAAGTAGCTCAATAGCCCCTGTGAAGGGTTTGGCTTTTGTTTTTGTTTGTTTGTTTGTTTGTTTAGGGGGAGCGATTTTTAGCATGGATGCTTCAATGGCTTTATTAACTCTCTCTTTCTGGGGATGGGAGGCCTTGTAGCCGGAGACTGAGCTAAAAAAGAAGCCAGGAAGCCGTGGTCTCAATAGCGTCATTCAAGGGGTACAGAAGGTAAAAGTGTGTGCTCAAAGTTTGGAGTTTACCAGGGACCCTCCCGCAATTCTCTTTGGGATCTAAACTTGTTGTTGAGTCAAAAAAAATACATAGACCTAGTACTTTCAGATATACTGGATTTGTGAAAAAAAGAACCCTCTTAATTCCACTAAGATTGGGCAGAATCCCTGAGAACGTGCTCATCCTTCTCAGATATTAAAAGAGCTTGCATCCTATTGGCCCGGGGAATGAGATCAGACCAGAACAACAGGTGAAAGCTGAAGAAAAACGTTGAATTTAAGTATCTATATCTGAACTTGATCCTGTTTTATGGTAACTAATTGTCAAGATTCTTAATGGGTGCCCATATGTAAACAGAAAAGAAACACTTGAAGGTGAAATTTTAAAAGTGAAATCACGAGGTCATGACACCAGACATTTGTCTCCGTTACCTTCTCTACCTGAAATCAAGGTCACCGATGATTTTCCCAGGCATCAATGATCAAGCAGCACCACGTGTGAAACATAAAGCATGCAATAATAATGCACTTTGTATAAAGTGGAAAGTCTTCACTTACCCAAGGGAGGCTGAACCACAGTCAGATTTACAGTTACAGACTCGTGGACTTGCAGCCCCTTCATGTTAGCCACACAAGTCACAGTGCCATTGCCCTGGGGCGTGAGCGCCAGGACGCTCACTGCACTTTGACGACCATCCGGCTCCGGAACGGAATAATAGTTCCAATGGCTCGCCGGAACCCCGACTTCCCAGGAAATATCTGGGAGTGGGGTCCAGCCCACTGCGCGGCAAGTCACGTTACAAGGCTCATCTTTAATGACTACCAGACTGCCTCCAGGAAGGAGCAACTGCCCCACAACTGAAGAAGAAAAGAGAAATGTTCTGAAGAAACATCCATGCCTTGCAGTGCCAGACTTTTAAAAACTTTTCCTTCAAATCACGTTACATGAGAGCCATCTTCCCAGACCCCAGTTGGCTGTGTCTGTATCCGGAAACCTGAGCCCAGGTTTTATCTGTTTTTATTTATACCTGCCAGGTTTGCAGAAGAAGATGAGGTTGCTCCCCAGAAAGCATAGATATCAGAGAAAATGAATAAATAAGAATCAGGATGCAGGGGAATACAAATTCCATGGGAAGGAGAGAGAAGCTGTGCCTGTCGTGGACGGATACACGACCACAGCAGTGGAATCCCAAAGTCATCCGGGGCTGACCTGGGAGCCAAAGCAAAAAGGGAAATAACCTTTGCATTCTTTTCACTGTAAGGAGGACACAGCTCAGCATCTCGTGAGAGGCAAGTCTCTCCTGGCCTTTGGCCAGTCAGATGCATTTCATTTACTTTTGAGTCACACATTTTAAATACATTTTCCTATGACTTATATTGCCTTAAAATCTTTTTCTAGGTACCAGTTAAATAAAGATCAAATCTAATATAATCAGAGAAATAATTACCTTAAATCATGTGTCAGAATATATGACTCAGATAAATCATTTTAAACTTTTTAGTAAGCACCCCGTTGCACAAGCCAGCATTCACACTGTAAAGAACTCATTTGCAAATACCACTTGTGTGTGCTAATATCACTAAAGTAACCTGAGGACTGGCTCCGGTAAAGACACAGCCTTAGCGAAATGTATATACATTGAAACATTCGAATTAAAATATCCTAAAACCCTGTGTCATGTAGTATAATGGAAAGAACGCTGAACTAAGAATCCAAAAAAAAAAAATCTGTTCTCAATCCTGGCTTTCCCCCAAAATTGCCATCACCTTGGGCAAGTCCCTGAAATGTTCAGGCTCTCTGCTGGAATTTATTGAACAAGAGAATTTAACTAGACCATTGGTTTTACTGAGGTGGAAATGCTTTTTAAAAAAAAGCGCTGAGGACTCCAAAGACTTCTGGTTTATGTGGGTTCTATCAGTGTTTCCCATATTTGAAGTTAGAATTAAATATTTATTTTTTTAAAATACCAATAATAACCCATTACATGCTAATAGGCTTAACATATTTTTGTGAAAAAAAAATTTATAAACCAAAATAAACCAGTAAGAAGAATGACATTGCTTTATATTTTTAACATATGGCTGGATTCTCATATCTGCTTCTGCCTTCAATCTGTTGCAATGGATTGCTTTATTTAGAGTATATAAAAAGAAATCTGACTTTGTGCAGCTATATAGTTGAAATGGTGAGAAGGCTTTTCAGATAATCATGGATGGTCTTTGATACCATACCAAAACTTAGCAAGTAGTGGTTTCTTAAAGTTTACTACGCTGTGGAAATGGAAACGGTATAAAGGAACTTCCATTCTGTTGCATTAGAATCCATTGCTCTGTCTGTCACTTTGAATGGATTTCTTACCCTGGTTTGATGTCGTATCATTAGACACCGGTCACTTGGAATGTACGGTGGAAAGCTCTCTGTGTGCAGGTGACCAGGAGCGTGGGAAAGGCAAGTCACATCTTACTAGAACTGTGAAAACAGTTGTGAGCTCACAGCCCAACCTGAGGGATCTAGGGGACACCCGGAAGTTTCCAGACTAGGCTGAGCTGGCTCGGCTCTGAAAGCTCTCCTCACTCTGCAATGTTAGACTTCCAGTCGCTCCTTTCCTGAATAGTGTCTTGGAGCGAGTAAAGTGCCTGTGTTAATGCAAGGATTACTGTAAATGCAACGGTGAGGAAGGAATGGATTTGTCCCTTAAGGCTAATGGGCTTTGTGCTGATTCTTGTTCATTCGCGGTGTCCTTGATGAAGAGGTTTAAGATGAGAGAAACTGGGGGACAGGCGGGGATGGTATTATTTCAGTCAGTTAACAGATGATCTTGAACCTAAGTCTTAGTGGCCCTCAAAACACAGGAGGTCTAGAGTTTGGTATGTTTGGATTAATTGATGGATTGGGCAAAAAATGGACAAGTGTGGCAATCTGAAGCATTTCCTTTTTCAGTATATATTTCAGATCCATCTTTTTCCCACTGGCTTTCACAAGGGTTATCCAGTAGCGGGACAAACACTTCACACAGGGTGATGGCTAGAACATTCACATAGATTTTGGAAGACTCAATGTGGAATTATGTAAGTTCTCTTTATTTTTCTTGTTGACACTTGGGGAAGGGAAAAAAAGCCAATCTTTGGAAAATTCACTTGTGAAATAAATTGGATGTTTCCTCCTTTTTTGTGATTCTTTTCCCTTGAAGAGACCCTGTTGCTCCGCGAACTTTTCTTTGCCTTTAAGTGCAAAGCACCATTCAGACCAGCGCATCCAGGGTAAATGGATGATGGGTTCTGTCCTGCTTTATGGGTTCCTTCCGTGTGCCCCTGGGAGGACCTTAACTTCCCTAGACACGTGTTCCTCCAGCTACGTTAAAACCAAAAGCAACAGGAATTACCAACATATAAACGTGCATGTTAGGGGTGTTCAGACAACTTT